GCCAAGGACAACTGGTAGTCAAGACCCTCCACCGACACCACCACGGTGAGCCAGGGACCACGCTGGGGACTGAGGATACAAAGATGAGTAGTGTACGATCCTTGCCCCAGGACAGTTCCCTATGTCCGCAGGGCCAGCCTGGAGGGCCACAGCCAACCGTGGGCAACAGGATCACTCACTGTGCCCTTTCGCGGCAAGTGAGTGCAGTAGTAGGGGACGAGTACTGCCAAGCCAAAGGTTTTCCCCAGGTAAAACTGGATGACGGAGAGACGGAGACTGAAGCGACGCCGGCACCGGGCAGATATTAACAGGAACCAGGGGCTAAAAGGGCGGAGGGCGCAGAGGACCCAGCCGGGGACTGGCCGTAGGGAAGCCCCCGCTGCAGTCGCGGGCCTGGGTGCCGGGCGGCCGCGCTTCCCCAAAGCCGTCACAGGGGCTTGGGGTACCACGGTGACTACCGGGCGCGAGTCATTTTGTGGGGGAAGGTGTCTCCAAGGGGGCAGTTTGAGGAGACGGTTGGGGGTGCATTTGGGGTGGCGCCCAAATGGACGGTGAGTGCTGGATGTTTGAAGGTCGCGTGGACGCAGAGTTGACGAGTCAGAGAAGGCCGGGGGTCGGAAGGGCTGGGGACGAGGTCTGACCGGAGGGTCGGGGCGGACGCAGCGGGCGGGTGCAGCCGAGGGGGAAGGGAGACGCTGAGGGCACAGAGGTGGGTAGACAGGCCCTCCCTCCCCTAAGGGAGCCCTTGGAACGCGGGGTAGTGGGTCTGTGAGACCCCGCCAGCCTCCGGAGAGGCGTTCCTACCTCGTTTCTCGCCTCAGTCTCTTCCTTCCGCGCCGGCGGCGGCGGCGTGGTCTCGCACCCTCCAGGGGTCGCGTTATAGCCTAGAGGCGCCAGCGCCCCCTCCCTCCCGGCGGGTTGGAAATGCGGGCCCTCGTCAGCGTGGCTCAATGGTCCAATCTGGGTTGCCCTCAGGTCGCCCCTCCGGGCGGCGGGTTGGTTCAGTCCGCCCGGCCGCGGTGCATGCCCCCTCCCCGGCTCCCGCAGCGATGGGCGCAGCCGAGTCACGCGCAGAGCTTTCCAGCGAGGGGAGCGGCGAGGCTTCCGCCGTGGCTCCGCCTTCTGCGGCCCGCGCCCGCCCCCGCGGGGTGGTGACTGGGACGCGCCGCTCGCGGGTACAGGAACCCAGGGAAGCCTAGGGCGCCTCGAGGGCTGGTGGATGTGAGCGTCTAGCTTCGTCTAAGACGGCGGTTCTCAACCCTAGCTCCCCAGTAGAACCTAGTGAGGAAACTAACAAAACAACGACAAACGGAGGCCTGACCTCACCCTGGACCGACTGATTCAGAATCACTGGGGTGGTGTGGTTGGGTTTGGCCCCTCCTTGCATAGCCAGGGTTCCGAGGCCCTGGTGAAACCTAGAACCCATACGCCCCCTGCTCTTCAGGGCCGGGTGTGTAGGGGAGTCTTGCTGCTTCTAGCCAGAGTGGGGTGGGGCAGGCAGTCCTGCAAATATTAGTTATGGGAAACCCACTATATTGGTCCGTTCTTACACTGCTATGAATACTATGAGGGAAAGAGGTTTAATTGACTCACAGTTCTGCACTGTTGGGGAAGCCGCAGGAAGCTTACAATTATAGCAGAAGGCAAAGGAGAAGTAGTCATCTTTTTCATGGGGTGGCAGAACAGAATGAGTGCAAGCAGGGAAATGCTAGATGCTTATAAAATCATCAGGTCTTGTGAGATTCACTCACTGTCACGAGAAGGGCAAGGGGGAAACCAACCCCGTGATCAAATTACCTCCACCTGGTCCCGCCCTTGACACGTGGGGATTATGGGGATTACAAGATGAGATTTTGGGCGGGGACACAGCCAAACTGTTACAGGCATGAGCAAGCTGGAGAGGGTTCTCCCCTCCTACCTACTAAGGATGTCGGCGATGGTTTTGAGGCAGGAGAACAGGGACTGGAGGCAGGGAACCTAAAGTTGTTTCATGCCAACTTCCTGGAACTAAATTGAAAGGAAAACCCTAACTTTCCATACCTAAGTAATAAAAGGACTAGAGACTATTCCCTTTGCAAACCCCCCATCTTTTCTGCACAGCAGATGGAAAATTGGCGGTCTGCAACCAAATAGACTAATTGTGGCCAAGTCTAAATTTGCATAGAAGTATAACTTTGTGACTTTACCCTAGCCTCTGATTTGCAAAAAGCCAATTTTCACATGTGCAAAACGCAACCAATCAGATGTTTGCTCAGGGGTGTGACCTTTGTAACTTCAGCCTTTGCTCGGCTGCTTTTTGCAACCAATCAGACTGATTGCAGGCTACCACTTCATTTACATGAGGTGAGCATGAAGTGGCCAATGGGAAACTCCTAGGGGATATTGGGACCCAAGAAAATGCTGTTTCCCGGCACCTGAGCGCTGCGCGACTGGCTGCCACTCTGTGGAGTGCTCGTTTGTTTTCAATAAATCCTTGCTTTCCTTCTTTTGTTGCTTCATTCTTTTTTTTTTTTTTGCTTTCCTGGATGTTTTGTCCAATTCTTTATTCAAACCGCCAAGAACCTGGTCAACTTGCAGTCACGACCCTCTACTGGTGGCAGTTCCGTAATTATCTCATTGCCTCTTTAAAAATGATAAATTGGCCGTGCTAGGGAGAGGCCATTTCTTGATGTTCCACACCTGTTAACATCAAAATGCTAATTGTATGCAGGCCCCAGGGAGAAGCAACTTTCTGGGCATGTGTGTTAAGAGACAAAAATGGTGAAATATGATCTTTTGGGGGCATCCTTCACTGGAAAAGGGTAATGAAATCACTGCACATTTGGGAAGCCCATTCTAAGGGAAGAATCATGGGAATGAGGCAAGCCTATAAAAGTCCTAGGAAAAAGAATGAAAAAAAAAAAGAAGAAGAAGAAAACAAAACAAAACAACAACAAAAAAAGTCCTAGGATGCCGGGTGTGGTGGCTCAGGCCTGTAATCCCAGTACTTTGGGAGGCTGAGGGGGCGGATCACCTGAGGTCAGGAGTTTGAGACCAAGCTGGCCAACACAGTGAAACCCTAACTCTACTAAAAATATAGAAATTAGCCAGGCATGGTGGTGGGCATCTATAATCCCAGCTACTTGGGAGGCTGAGGCAGGAGAATTGCTTGAACTCAGGAGGTAGAAGTTGCAGTGAGCTGAGATGGTGCCATTGCACTCCAGCCTAGGCAACAGAGCGAGACAACATCTCAAAAAATAATAATAATCCTAGGATGATGGTTAGCCACTTGACCTTCTCTCTTTAACTCTCATGTGCCCACTCAGGTCTCTTCCAAGCACACTTTCCCGTTCTAAGGCCTTTTTTTTTTTTTTTTTGAGGCAGAGTCTCGCTCTGTAGCCCAGGCTGGAGTGCAGTGGCATGATCTCGGCTCACTGAACCTCCATCCTTCCAGCTTCAAGCAATTCTCCACCTCCATCTCCACCTCCTAAGCAGCTGGGATTACAGGTGCCCACCACCATGACCAGCTAATTTTTGTATTTTTAGTAGAGACTAAATCTACTAAATTTCACCATCTTAGCCAAGCTGGTCTTGAATTCCTGACCTCGTGATCCACCCTCCTCAGCTTCCCAAAGTGCTGGAATTACAGGTGTGAGCCACCATGCCTGGCCTCTAAGGCCTTTTTAAATAAACTTCCATTCCTGCTCTGGAACTTGCCTTGGTCTCTTTTTCTGCTTTACGCCCCACAGTTGAATTCTTTCTTTTTGAGGAAGCAAGGACTAAAGTTGTTACAGACCCATAAGGATAGGCTGCCGGTAACTTGGGGTAACTCAGATCTCACTAACAAAACCATATCACCCACTAAGAAGACTGTTTTAGGTTCCAAACTCACTGAAAGAGAGCTGGGGCTCACAGTCAAGGAAGCAGATAAATGTCATGATATGCAGCACATCCTCATGCTTCACAGAAGTGGCGTGAGCTGAGTTTTGAATAATGAGTGGGAGGTAAAGGGAGAATTGGCATGTGCAAAAGAACCAAGGGGCAAAATGACTAATGTGATTGAGAGGTGTGGTAGGCAATGGAGAGAGCCAAGGAGAGCCGGTCAGGGTTTAGTGATGAAGCGCCTATGACTACTAAGGAGTTGGGAGAAAGGGCCTTATTGTGGAGGCAGGAATGACAAGATCAAATATGAATGTTAGAAATAAAGTCGTGAGGGCTTAAATAAGGGTGTAGGTGGAGAGGGCTAGCATTGCCAGTGGGGAACCAATGAGATCAGACTGTTTGCACAGTGTGATTCCCCCAGTTCAATGGTCTGGATTGGGCACTTAACACAAACTGGGCCAATTAGAATTACTTCTCTGAGAATGTGGAAGTGGGGGACAAACAGCTACATCTCTGCTCAGACTTAAATTGGACTTAACAGGGTAATTTAGGAGCTATGCGGTAGCCATCTTCTACTTGTCCATTTGGCCTGAGCAGCATTTTTGGATACAATGAGTTCTAAATTTCTCTTCAAAGCATAAGTATGTCATTTAATTCAGTTATTTGTTCTCCATTTTAAAGTTTAACTTCCTTGTAGTTCTAGTAAACAACTTTCTCCACTGGTTCTAATCAGTAGTTCACATCTGTTCCCCCAGCCCCCGGCTCCATCCTGACTCATCCCAGTCACCTGCTTCAGTCACCTGCTCCAGTCATCTGCTCCAGCCACCTGCTTTGACCTAGGTCACCCCTGGCTACCTGCTTTGACCTTCCTGTAACCGTCCTTCCTGCCAAACCACCCACCCTGCCACTCCAGCTCAGAACCCTGCTCTCTTTAAAACAGCCAACTGGGATTAGTCTAGCTTGTGCCGTCTAACCCTAGCCAATAGGGGAATGACACAGCAGTAGGGGCAACCCCTGTCAGGAATAAGTACCCCTTTTCCTCCCTTGTCCAAATGTGTGGTCACCATTGCTCCATCCATGAGCCACACCCTTCTATAGAAGTTAACTGCCTTTCTGAGAGGATTTATCTTCAAGTGCTATTTCTTTTGCGGCATCAAAATTTTACTTATAACAGCATTGAAAAACAGTTTACTGAGAAGGAAGATCAATCCATTGCACACTGAGGAGTAAGTCTACACACAAAGAGACTACTCCCTAGGTTCTTGGGACCTTCCAGCAGCTGGTTTCACTTCTTCCTGAGGCCTGCCCAGCTGGATTCCTTCCCCAGGATCATGATGCATCCTTCCATCCATAGGAATCTCATTTTTGGCTTCAGTGCGTGTGGGTTACTTCCTGTTGTTTATATTAAAGAATAACTTTCAAAAAGGTAAAATAATGAGCCCTATGCAAGTATTTTTATTTTTTGAGACAGGGTCTCTGTTACCCAGGCTGGAGTGCAGTGGTGCAATCATGGCTCACTGCAGCCTCAATTTCCTGGACTCCAGCGATCCTTCTATCTCAGCCTCCAGAGTAGCTGAGACTAAACGTGTGCACCATCACACCTGGGTAATTTTTGTATTTTTAGTAAAGACAGGGTTTCACCATATTACCCAGGCTGGTCTTGAACTCCTGAGCTCAAGCGATTCACCCTCCTCTGCCTTCTAAAGTGCTGGGATTACAGGCACGAGGCACTGCGCTTGGCAGAGCCTCATATAAATATACAATGAACATATTTCAAAGGTTTTATTAAACTCACTAATTAATGAGGGAACCAGTAAGATATTAAAACCTGTTCAAATGAAGATTTGACTTAGAAATAAATGTCTGGGCTGGGCACGGTGGCTCAAGCCTGTAATCCCAGCACTTTGGAAGGCCGAGGCGGGTGGAAAGAAAGAAATGTCTGTTCCCTAATGGACAAAATTCATTTGCATCACCCAGAACAGGAATCATTTGCATTGTTATAGGCAGGAAATCTTTTGCATTATTTATTATCAGTATTCTAAAGTCAACGAGTTAGAAAATAGCTTACTTAAGGCCGGGCGCGGTGGCTCATGCCTGTAATCCCAGCACTTTGGGAGGCTGAGGTGGGTGGATCACGAGGTCAAGAGATCGAGACCATCCTGGTCAACGTGGTGAAACCCTGTCTCTACTAAAAATACAAAAATTAGCTGGGCATGGTGGCGCATGCCTGTAATCCCAGCTACTCAGGAGGCTGAGGCAGGAGAATTGCTTGAACCCAGGAGGGGGAGGTTGTGGTGAGCCGAGATTGCGCCATTGCACTCCAGCCTGGGTAACAAGAGCGAGACTCGTCTCAAAAAAAAAAGAAAATAGCTTACTTATAAAATAGGAACATAGTCAAAGGAAATCAAAAGCTCTCACCACTAATATAAACAAATAATTCCCAAGGATCCTTAACAGCACTCAACATTCCATTAAAAGGACACCCATTTTAAAGTCTTTCTTAAGTTTTCCAGACACTTGCAAATCAAAGAATATACAAAAACACGGAGACATAAGAAAGCATCATGCTCTTCGGGTGTGGTGGCTCACATCTGTAACCCCAGCACTTTGGGTGGCCAAAGGGAGTGGATCACCTGAGGTTAGGAGTTCAAGACTAGCTTGGCCAACATGGTGAACCCCATCTCTACTAAAAATAAAAAAATTAGTTGGGCATGCTGGTGGGTGCCTGTAATCCCAGCTACTCAGGAGGCTGAGGCAGGAGAATTGGTTGAACCTGGTAGGTAGAGGTTGCAGTGAGCTGAGGTCACACCATTGCACTTCAGCCTGGGCAACAAGATCTAAAGTCCGTCTCAAACAAACGAAGAGGCCAGGCTCGGGGTCTCACACCTGCAATCCCAAGACTTTGGGAGGCCAAAGTAGGTGGATCACCTGAGTTCAGGAGTTTGAGACCAGCCTGACCAACATGGGGAAACCCCATCTCTATTAAAAATAAAAAATTAGGCAGGCATGGTGGCGCATGCCTGTAATTCCAGCTACTTGGGAGGCTGAGGCAGAATTGCTTGAATCCAGGAGGTAGAGGCTGCAGTGAGCTGAGATCGTGCCATTGCACTCCAGCCTGGGCAACAAGAATGAAACACTGTCTCAAAAATAAAAGTAATAATAATAATGAAACAACAAAAACAAAGAAAGCATGATGCCTTAGGGAAACTCAAGTAGTATGGGTGTTAGTTAAGTATGGGCAAAAGTGTAGGAGGAAGGCAGCAGCAAGATTAAGAATGGCCTTGTATGCATGTTTGGGAATTTGGATTTTATTTTATTTCATGGAGATGGAGTCTCGCTCTGTCGCCCTGGATGGAGTGCAGTGGTGCAATCTCGGTTCACTGCCACCTCTGCCTTTCAGGTTCAAGTGATTCTTCTGCCTCAGCCTCCGGAGTAACTGGGATTACAGGTGCATGCTACCATGCCCAGTTAATTTTGTATTTTTAGTAGACAGGCTTTCACCATGTTGGCCAGGTTGGTCTTGGACTCCTAACCTCAAATGATCCCGCCTGCCTCGGGCTCCCAAAGTGCTGGGATTACAGGCATGAGCCACCATGCCTGGCCGAGTTTGGATTTTATTCTGAAGGCTGTTGACACTATTATTTCAAGCAGGAGAGTCATTTGAACAGATCTGAGCTTTAGAAATTTCACTTTAGTAGGAGTGTGGATGTTGAATTAGAGGAAGGTAAGGAGATCAGTTAGGAGATTGCTAATTATGATGAGAACTGAGAGAGTCTGAATGAGGACAGTGGGTGAAGGCTTAGATAAGAGGAGATAGATTCAAGGGTGATTTAAGGTATAGAAATCTGTAGAACTTAGTGATTAATTGAATGAGTCATGGGGGTGGGCAAGGTAAGGTAGAGCAAATAGTCTTGAATGACTTCCAGGATCTTTCAAATGATGTGTATTTTCCAAAACATTTTGCATGAATCTTAGTAGATTTGGTAGAAGATTTGGAGCTGGAATCACAGGGATATGTTGGGGCTACGACAGTGTTCCTTGTTTTTCTCTATTTCTGGCAGGGGCAAATAAGCTTAGATTACTTCCCCCATAAGTTCTTAAAGAAAAAGGTGCAGGATAAGTGGGACGGCACTGTGACCTCTCCCTATTTCTGGGACGCTGTTGAAAAGAACAAGTGAGAACCTAGCTTGTGTACATTGGAACTGCCTCTGTGTTTTTGCTGTTGGCAACAGAGAATAAAATATTCTCGGCTGGGCGCAGGTGGCTCACACCTGTAATCTCACCACTTTGGGAGGCCGAAGTGGGTGGTTTACTTGAGTTCAGGAGTTCAAGATCAGCCTGGCCAACATGGTGAAATCCCGTCTCTACTAAAAATACAAAAGTTAGCCCAGGTGTGGTGGTACACACCTGTAATCCCAGCTACTTGGGAGGCTGAGGCAAAAGAATGGCTTGAACCCGGGAGGTGGAGTTTGCAGTGAGCTGAGATCATGCCACTGCACTCCAGCCTGGGCAATAGAGCAAGACTCCATCTCAAAAAATAATAATAAAAAAAATATCCTCAATCTAGTTTAGGTAAAAAGATGTCCTCACAGAACCTAACTTCAGAAAGTGCTTTCTATGGGGATGAAATAGTGTCTTGTCTCTTTCTCTTTGGTCATCTTCTTCATTCTTCTCTTTATAGTCTGGAAAACTTGGCTCACTTATCCTCTTATAGCAAATCATGGGCACTTCAAAGTGGAGGTCCCACTTCCTAAAACTACACAACCTTTTAACTCCTGACTTCATCACTGACTTAGTTTTTCACAGCTCTAATCCTGAGTCCCAGAGAAAGAAGCTCTATCTGGTTATATACCCACTCTAGGCCAGTTGTGGCTGGGGGTAGTGAAGTTAAGTGGTACAAATATGACCATCACCCGGCAGTGCACTGTGGGAGGCAGAGGTAGCCAGATCATTTGGGGCCAGGAGTTTGAGACCAGCCTGGCCAACATAGTGAAACCCCATCTCTACTAAAAAGACAAAAAATTAGCCGGGTGTGGTGGCATGTGCCTGTGGTCCCAGCTATTAGGGAGGCTGAGGCAGAAGAATTGCTTGAACCTGGGAGGCACATGTTGCAATGAGCCAAGATGGCACCACTGTACTCCAGTCTTGGCTCACTGCAACCTCCACCTCCTGGGTTCAAGACATTCTCCTGCCTCAGCCTCCTGAGCAGCTGGGATTATAGGCACTTGCTACCACACTCGGCTGATTTTTGTATTTTTAGTAGAGAGGGCATTTCACCATGTTGGGCAGGCTGGTCTTGAGCTCCTGACCTCAAATAATCTGCCTGCCTCGGCCTCCCAAAGTGCTGGTATTACAGGCATGAGCCACTGTAATACTCTTATTCTCCATATAGTAGTGTGAGCAATCTTTTGAAATGGGCTTTAAAACTCTCCACTGCTCCCTGTGGTTTTTATCTAAATACTCTGTCCTTTGCTTACAATGTTTCATCCACATTAGGCTTCTTTTTCTTACTTACAAAGCTTGCTCTTACCTTAGGAACTTTACACTAGCTTTTTACTTTGTTTGAAATGCCTTTCCATCAGATGTTTGCAGGACTAGATCCATCTAGTCTTTTAGATCTCATTTCACATGTCACTTCCTCAGAAAGGTCTTCTCTGACTACCACATACCAAGTATAGGCATGCTTCATTTTACCGTGCTTTGCTCAAATGCATTTCACTGCATTTTTTTACAAATTGAAAGTGTACAGAAACCCTGAATTGAGCAAGGCTATCAGTGTCATTTTTCCAAAAGCATATGTTCACTTTGTGTCTCTGTATCATATTTTGGTGATTCTTGCAATATTTCAAACTTTCATTATTATTACATCTGTTATGGTGATCAGTGATCTTTGATGTTACTATTGTTATTTCTTTGGGGCACCATGAACTGCGCCCATAGAAGATGGCAAATTTAATGAATGCATGTTCTGACTGTTCCACCAACCAGTCATTCCCCTGTCTCTCCCTCTCCTCGGGCCTCCCTCTTCTTTCAATATTTTGAGACACAAAAATATTGAAATCAGGCCAATTAATAACCTAAATGGCCTCTAAATCTTCAAGTGAAAGGAAGAGTCACATGTCTCTCACGTGAAATAAAGAGCTAGAAATGATTAAGATTGTTGAGGAAGGTATGTTGAAAGCCAAGATAGGCTGAAAGCTAGGCCTCTTACACTCTTACAGTTAGCCAAGTTGTGAATGCAAAGGAAAAGTTCTTGAAGGAAATTAAAAGTGCTATTCCAATGAACACACAAATAAGAAAGCAAAACAGCCTTATTGCCAATACAGAGCAAGTTTGAGTGGTCTGTATAGAAGCTCAGACCAGCCACAACATTCCCTTAAGCCAAAGTCTAATCCAGAGCAAGGCCCTAACTCTCTTCAATTCTATGAAGGCTGAGAGAGGTGAGAAAGTTACAGAAGAAAAGCTGGATGCTAACAGAGATTGGTTCATGGGTTTACAGAAAGAAGTTGTCTCTCACAAAAGTACAGTGTGAAGGAACAAGTGCTGATGAGAAATGTACTTAGTGAATGGTTCTTTTTAGTAGCAACCAGTACTTGTCACTTTAAGTTTCACTTTAGTAGTTAAGGTGATTTAATGAAATCATGTTTTAAAACTTCAACCTTTATAATTAATGCTTTTCCTTATCTTTCAGCTTGGCTCTGTTGCATGTGGCCAGGTTCAGTGAGCTTTGTAGATATCTGTATTTCTACTTACCTCTCCTCCCTCCTTCAGCTTGCTAATTCTTTTTTTTCCTCCAGGGCTTGAGCAGGACAGGAGAGAGAAGAAATGAGGAAAGTCTTTACTTGACTGACACTGTTGTGAACTAATTTTAAGGCTTGGCAGGTAAGTCAGGCCTAGTGGCTCATGCCTATAATCCCAGTACTCTGGGAGGCTGTGGCAGGTAGAACACTTGAGGCCAGGAGTTTGAGACCAGCCTGGCTAACATGGTGAAAACCTGTCTCTACTAAATGCCTGTAATCCCAGCTACTCGGGAGGTGGAGGCAGAATTGTTGGAACCCAGGAGGCAGAGGTTGCTATGAGCCAAGATGGCGCCGCTGCACTCCTGCCCGGGTGACAGAGTAAGACTCCATCTCAAAAAAAAAAAAAAAAAAAGACCTGGCAGATATCTAAAGCTGACTCTATTTTAAGAGGTCCTTTTGTAGGTTCTTCAGAAATTCTCTCCCCACTGGTGGAGATATCTCTCCTATAGCTAGTTACTTCGATGTGGGTGAATTCAGCTCCCGTAGTTGGTCACTTACAACTCCATTAAAAATCTCTAGGCATTACAAAACTGAACTTTATTGAGATATAGCTTACATAAAGTAAAATGTATAAATTTTAAGTATACAGGTCAATCAATTTTGACAAATATAACCACCTCCAAAATTGAGATAAAGAAAATTTGCCTCATGCCCCTTGCTTCTATCTTCTTATAAATCCACTAGCATTTGACAGCATATCCTTTCCTTCTTCCTGCTGAAGTTTCCTCAAACTTTCAGATAATTTATCTAGCAAGATCAAGAAACCCCAATGACATGGCCCATATCTGGTCTGTGGGTAGCACTCATGCATCCTTTGCCTGTAAATGGGAACACAGGCCAATTTCACCACAGCCACTTTTTGCTCTGCCGCAGAACAGACTGCGGTTTTAGATTTTCTAGGTATGAGGTAGGTATCAGTCCTTTGTGTCTCCCAGACACATTAATCATATTAATCTCACCAAATAATTTCCTTAAAGTCTTCTCAACTTAAACTGAACTGAAGGGAAGTCCTTAAAGCCCACTAACAATTCTCTCCAAAGACCTCTCTCTACTGTCTGCATTTCTGCTCCTTTTCTTAAGGTGGGTCAGCAACTAAGAGTTGTAAACTTGTTTTTTATAATCCACACCCCCCCCCCCCCCGCTTTCTTTGGCAAGTCTTGCATGGCCATCTCACACTACACTTTGGAATGTTGCATTTACTTTCTTGGATCCTTAGCAGAGACTGAGATTCAAATCTCCTGGAATGCATATAAACCACCAGGAGAGGTAGTGATTGTTCAGGGGCTTTGGGAGATATTACTGTATTTTTACAGATGCCTTAGATGAGAGACCATGAGTAACTATGTTTCATAAAAAGAGGCCCCTGAAGTGTAGCTGGAACCTAGATACAGAAGGATGCGATTCATTTAGAAAGGAAAGGGTAAGAAGCAAGTTTAGGAAAAATAAAAGGTAGTAGATTTCATTCATTCACTTGTTCATTGAAAAACATTAATAATCACAGCCAGGCACGGTGGCTTACACCTGTAATCCCAGCACTTTGGGAGGCTGAGGCGGGCAGATTACCTGAGGTCAGGAGTTCAAAACATGGTGAAACCCTGTCTCTACTAAAAATACAAAAATTAGCCAGGCATGGTGGCATGTGCCTGTAATCCTAGCTACACAGGAGGCTGAGGCACAAGAATTGCTTGAACTCAGGAGGCAGAGGTTGCAGTGAGCCAAGATTCTACCACTGTACTCCAGCCTGGGCAACAGAGTGAGACTCCATCTCAAAAAAAAGAAAAGAAAAGAAAAGAAAAACATTAATAATCTAAGTGCTAGGATTTTTCTGGTTGATGGGAATAAAAAAGTGACATAAAATTCTTGCCTTCAAGATTATTCATGGCCTAGCACTTAGATGGGTCTCATGCAAGGAAGAGGCAACCAACTCAGAAGAGGAGGATGTGGTCTCAGGGAAGGCTCCTAGATGAGGTACTGCAAGCTGAGAATTAAGAGCAGACAGACATTATCTAGACAAAAGAGAGGGAGAGAAACAAACAGGACAGGTATAATGAATTGCACTGAGGAATTAGGAAAAGCTCCTGGAAGAGACAATGCTTAATCTGAGCTGTTTTTAAAAAGTTGAAGTGAACTTCACATAACATAAAATCAGCCATTTAAAAATGTACAATTCAGTGGCAATTACTACTTTGACAGTATTGTTCAACCATCACTGTCTAGTTCCAACTACTCTGAGTTTTCAAGGTGATGAGGGGTTCACTAGATGAATATGGTTGTGGGGGAAAGCACTTTAATATATGAGAACAGTGTGTTTGATGACATGAAGACAGAAATAGCATGACTGGAGTGCATGCAGATGGGGAGTAGTGGAAGACAAGGCTAGCGAGGGCCCAATAGTAAAAAGTCCAGATTTTAACTGGATCCAGAAAGCATGAGATTTCCTTAAAGGATGCTAAACTGAGGCTTGACATGATCAAATTTGCCTTCCAGAAAGATTACTCTTAAAATAATATTGTTGATGCTTTAGAAAGGGGAGAACCAAGAGGCTGAAGCAGGAAAATCGCTTGAACCTGGGAGATGGAGGTTGCAGTGAGCCCAGATCACCACCACTGCACTCCAGCCTCGGCAACAAGAGTGAAACACCACCTCAAAAACAAAGAAACAAACAAACTAAAACAAAGGGGAGAACCAGGGAGCTGAGTTGGGAGATTTTATGCCATAATCCAGATATGAGGTGATGAAATCTGAGCAAGGGCAATGGTAGTAATAATGGAGGGAGCTGAAAACAAGAAATAATAAGGATGCAGAATTTATATAACTTGACCACTGGACATTGAGCTAAAGGAAGAGGTATAGGATGATTCTCATCATTTGGCCTCGGGTGACTCAGGTGGTGGTGGTGGCATCCTGGGGTAAAAGTGGGAGGGAAAATGATTAGTACAGGTTGAGTGTAAGTTTCTGGAGGTGTGACAAAGTGAAAGGTCTGGAAGTTAGTTTAATATGTGGATCTGGGCCTTAGCAGGGAGATCTGGGATAGAGACTATGAATCTTCTTTCTTTCTTGAGACAGAGTTTCACTCTTGTTGCTCAGGGTGGAGTGCAATGGTAAGATCTCGGCTCACTACAACCTCCACCTCCCAGGTTCAAGTGATTCTCCTGCCTCAGCCTCCCAAGTAGCTGGGATTACAGGTGTCCACCACTACACACAGCTAATTTTGTATTTTTAGTAGAGATGGGGTTTCTCTATGTTGGTCAGGTGGTCTTGAATTCCAGACTTCAGGTGATCCACACACCTCGGCCTCCCAAAGTCCTAGAATTACAGGCATGAGGCACCATGCCCTGCCATGTGAATCTTCTTTCTATTGGTAAATGAAGTCGAGTGTCTGGATGAAGTAATTCAGGAAAAGGGTACCGAGAAAGATGAGCAAAGAACCTAAGAAACAATACTTGGGCCAGGTACGGTGGCTCACGTCTGTAATCCCAGCACTTTGGGAGGCCAAAGCGGGTGGATCATGAGATCAAGAGATCGAGACCATCCTGGTCAACATGGTGAAACCCAGTCTCTACTAAAAATACAAAAAATTAGGTGGGCACGGTGGCGCGTGCCTGTAATCCCAGCTACTCAGGAGGCTGAGGCAGGAGAATTGCCTGAACCCAGGAGGCGGAGGTTGTGGTGAGCCAAGATCGCGCCATTGCACTCCAGCCTGGGTAACAAGAGCAAAACTCCGTCTCAAAAAAAAAAGAAACAATACTTAAGGTATGCAAAGAGGAGAGAGCCATATTGGCAAAAGATGTGGTCATACTGAGGCCAAATTAGAGTTTAGCAAGAGGGGGAAGAAAAGTGGAGTGGAGCTGAAAAAGAAGAAAAAAGAGGGGGGAAGGAGAAGTACTGGTCTAATTTGAAGGAGGAAGTTGGTGGGAGTCTGGACTAAAGATATGCTCAGATTATATTATTGTCACTGGGGTCCCAACAGACCGTACAAATCTCTCTGCTTCAAAATAAGCAATTTATTGCTCCAATTCTAAACTCCTAAGAAACAATTTTTCAAGTACATACAATTTCTTCTCAAAATAATTTTATGGAATAAGGACATATGCTCACCAATTATGGCTTATGTCTCCTTAAGAAAAGAATCTTAAAAATCTCCTGCAATATCCCCTTCTCAGTTCTGAGGCCTGAGCAGGTATCAGCTCTTGAGTCAGAGAAGTCACAGAGAGCACAAGAAGGCAAAACCCTGAGTCATCTTATCCAGGCAGAAACCACCTCCACTTCTTTTTATTTACTTATGGTCCAGAAACCCTCTTTCAGCTTCTTAAGACCAACTCTGCACAGATGCCTCCTTTTTGCTACCCAGGGCCAGCAAAAGACTTACCCTGAATCTCCCAGATAAACCTGAGAAGGATGCCTCAATGGGAATATGTTCATGTAGGGCCCGGAAGGTTTATGCTTGCTCTGAGTATAGGAGACAGGGCCCAGAGTAAAATAGTTAGGTCCCATCTTCTTTTCCCTTCCCCATCCTGTCCCTCTTCATCCACTACTCCTATATATGCTTGTCTGATTGTAACTTGCAAGAAATAGTGGAATGTGGGCCTGAGATTGCTTTTTTTGGTCTTTTTCTTGAAGTGCTGCAACTCTGGCAGATATCTGGCGGCTCTTTCCTTACCTCTCCTCGCCTTACCTGGGCATAGCCTTCTGGACAGTTAGGAGGCTTAGTTCCTAGTGAGAGTGAAGGAGCAGGATTATGCTTGTTTCCCAAGGGACTCTAATCCTTCCTTACCAAGTTGCATGAATACAAGGAAAAGCACTGACTGCCTCCTTTGGAATCTCCCCAGGGCCTCTACCTTTTTGAAAAAAGCGTGTTTTTCTTGGACATCCTGGACTTCATTGTCTTGCCAGAAGTGATGAGGGCCCCAAAAAACCCTGTTCATGGGAGAATGCATAGGCAGAACGTTGAGAGCTCAAGTGTTTCAGTTTGGTCTTGGCTGGGGATTGCCGTGGAAGTCTGCATGCTTGAATTCTGTCAAAAACCTATAGCAAGAGCATGGGGATAGGGTTTTCATCCACAGAGGCAAAGGCAAAAGAAGGTCATGAATTATATCTGACTAGATTCTCTGTTCCACTTACCTTGTCCACGCTGATAGGCCAGAATAGTGGTTTAAGAAATTGGTACCCAATCACAGGCAACATACAGAGGACCACGCTGAGGATAATGCTCAGCAGCATTTGCAGCTGGTTCAGAGTGTTCCTGACCACACCTAGAAACAGTGAGCAAGGAGGGGAAAGACTGAAACAGAGCCTGGGGGACAGGAATGGGACCAGGGGTGGGAGTTACCAGCTAGAACTTAAGACACCTCTCTAGTCCAAAGAAGGAAGTTATTAATTTGAAGTTAGTCTAGGCTCCTGAGAAATAATATAAATACAAAAGAATTGCAGCTGGGTCTTTTGCCCAACCAAAGTCACTGTGAATCCATGTGCCTCTGTCTCCCTCTAAAGGCAGGGCAGGGTAGGGCAGGATAGGGGAGCAGGATTTCATTATGAGGGAATCCTAGAGCACTGGCCTGGATCCAAAAATGGGAAAGAAAGTTTTAGAGGAGGAAACAAACAAGAAAACAAACTAACAACAACAACAACAAATGAAAATTTAAAAAAGTAAAAAATAAAAAAAGGAAAAAGAAAAAAAGAGAAAGCTTTGCAGAAAAAAACGAGTGGCCTGACCAAAGGTCAGGTGGGTGCGGCGGCTCATGCTTGTAATCCCAGCACTTTGGGAGCCCCAGGTGGGCCCTTGCTTTAGGCCAGGAGTTTGAGACCAGCCTGGCCAACATAGAAAAATCATGCTTTTACCAAAAATACAAAAAAATTAGCAGTGCATGGTGGTGCATGGCTGTAGTCTCAGCTAGTGGGGAGGTTGAGGCATGAAAATTGCTTAAACCCAGGAGGCAGAGGTTGCAATGAGCCAGGATTGTACCACTGCACTCCAGCTGGGGTGACAGAGACAGAGCAGCAGAGTCTCAATGAATAATAAAAAAAAAAGATGAGAGCCAACTACATCTACATATCTACTTTCTATATTTTGTCTTCAGCAGAGTGGAGATGAAAGAGAGGGAAAAATAATATGGGAGACAATAAGGCAATATGCCACAGCATAAAGGATCTTGAACTGGAACCAGGAAATCTAGATTTGAGTCCTGTAATTCGAAAACACCCTCCAGTGTCTAAAATGGCTCTAATAATTATTGCACTGCCTACCTCTTAGGATGCTGGTAAAGAGCAAATCACATAAAACATTTGAAAATATCTTGGAAACCTGAATAAGGTAACTTATTTCCCTAGCTAGATTTTGTGTCCTTTTAGGGCTGAGACCATGTCTTATTTATATCTCTACCCTAGCACATAGTAGTGGCTTCTCGGTAAACATTTACTAAATAAATATACCCGATTCCTCACCCACCACACACCGGGCAGGGCCTTACCTAGGAATTGGAAGACATCAGGGAATGCTAGGCACAAGCCATCGCTGTACAGGAATAAGGACATGCAAAAGTAGAAACTCAGGCTACCCCAGATGAAGATGTGGTTTATTATTGTCCAGTAGGTTGTCCTCAAAGCAATCTGAAAAATACGCTCTTATGTGTAATAGTCTGTAACCTGGGACCTGTCAGCAACCTCCCTCCTCCAATTCTGAAATGAAGGTTGCTCCCTTCCCACACACCCTCCCTCTATTCCTCCCACTCTTTCAGACAGGCCCCACCCAATCCCCTTACCCCCACCGCCACTGGCCACACCTGCATTGTGACCACCCAGATCAAGGTGGGAGAAGGATTGGCAGTTGGAGATGTCCTTGCCATCATTTCGTTCTGTATTGCAACGAGTCCCCATGGGGACAAAGAATAACACGAAGGAACTGTAGATCCCGTGCATTAAACACTTCACAAATTCCTTCCTGTTGAAATAGAGGTTGTCCTGGCCTGGCTCATATAGCTCTGGGAAATGGAGGCTCCATGTGTCATTCACAACCTGGAAGCACCAGAGGGTAAGGAGGAAGGCTCAGCGTCTCTCCATAGAAGGTGCCATCTCCAACAGAGTAGAGGCTTCTCCCCTCACCGAGTCTGCTGCCAGGCGCCTAGGAGCTTCCTTATGATTACTTGAGTAGTGGAACCAGAGAACTGAACAGTGACCACAAGCCCTATCTGAAGTCCTACTTTTTAGGCAAGGATCTGGGTAGTGGAAGGAAGCTGGAAGAAGGTCAGAATGCTTGGAAGAACTTGGAGAGAGTTAGAAATGGGGAGTTATGAAAGGGGGCAACTAGGCTTGTGGGTAGCTGGGAGGGACGACTAGAGCTTGGGATGGGGGAGGCAGCTGGAATATAAGTCCCCAGGTGTAAGTCTTTTTTCAGCTGAATATTCTTTTTTTTTTTTTTTTTTTTTTTACAGTTTTACACTATCGCCCAGACTGGAGTGCAGAGGCACTATCTTGGCTTACTGCAACCTCCACTTCTGAGGTTCAAGCAATTCTCATGTCTCAGATTCCTGAGTAGCTGGAGGTGTGCGCCACCACACCCAGCTAATTTTAATATTTTTAGTGGAGATGGGGTTTCGCCATGTTGGCCAGGCTGGTCTCAAACTCATGACTTCAAGTGATCCACTCGCCTTGGCCTCCCATAGTGCTGGGATTACAGGTGTGAGCCACCATGCCCAGCCGTAGTTGAATATTCTTTATGTCAAAAGTCAGTGTGGGAGAAATGGACACCAATGGGGACCACTTAGTCTTTTAGAGGTGCATGTTCTGTGATGTTTCTTCCACTCCCATAGCTACTGGTGAACTGAAGGTGAAAAAATTAACAAACCTTGGGGCTGGTTTCAGAGGCAGATCCCTAGAATTAGGCCACTGAAGCTGGATGGACTGTTGAGTAAAAAAACCCATCCCTCTTGTTGTTCTGAGGTTAGCAGTTACTTCCTGGAGAATTTCCTTTAGAGCTATTTCCTATGGAGACCAAGAGCCATGACCTCATGATGTCCTATTTCAGCTACTTTATTCTTTTTTGGAGACTCAGTTTCTACTCCATGAGCCCAAGACTAAAGGTTGGGGTAGAAGACAAGGGAGAGGTGGGGTACCAGGATCCTCAAAGCCCAGGGAATTTCTGACAGGGACAGATGGTATCACTTAGTCTGGCTCCTTATGATATAAACTATCACATTCATACTCCCATGCCTGGCGTTCCTACATTGGCTTATCTCATCCTCATTATCCCTGAAGGAGTCTCTCCTTTTTGAAGTTCTAAACATTACCCAGTCCCACCCCAATAACTCTGTTTTCTTTTATTTTTTTTCATTCATATTCTGCTTTTTAAAAAAATTTTTCCATACATATTTTAATTACTTTTGTATATACTCAATTTACTGTACAGCACAATTTCCATGTTTCTCTCTACAAAGATAAAATTGATACAGGAAAACTTGGCTTTCTAAAACAGAATTACTCTCTGTTGAGGAGGATTTTTTACTTTATCTCATGATACCTATCTAGGTGATGAGCTCCTTTCCCCACTCTGGAAATCATTCCCTTTACAATGGATTTCGTAGAGCCCAGCTCTTGCTGTATTCTTCATTCTTAGGGATGAATATTCCTCGAGGGCCCAGGGGCTTCAACTCTGACTAGGGGCTTGCAGCTGGATCTTACCTGATCAAAAAGACTCATGCCCAGGACAGGGAGGGAAGTGTAGACCAGATTGTAGCATGTGATAAACCAGGTCTCATAAACTGCCTGGAAGAATACCAAGGAGATTTTGCAGGCTCCTATCTTCTCTACAGTCCCAGCTCTACCTTTCAGGTCCAAGATAGCCACCCTCACCCCTCAGCCCCCCCGACATTAACCTATAGCAGGAGAAACCTCACTGAGAATGTTGACCCCAGTCTCTCCTTGATTCTACTTTATTAGAATCCTGGGTCCTAGGATAGAGTAAGGCCACATCACGCTTTCAAGGTGGATCTGGACCAATCCCACCATAATCTATACAGCCCCTCACTGCACAGAAAGGACCCAGGGTAATTGCTAGGGAATGCTAGCTGTACCCCTACACTCCTAAGCAGGTAAACTTTTTTTTTTTTTTTTTTTTTGAGATGGAGTCTTGCTCTGTCACCCAGGCTGGAGTGCAGTGACATGATTTCAGCTCACTACAATCTCTGCCTCCTGGGTTCAAGAAATTCGCAGCCTCATGAGTAGCTGAGACTCCTGACGCCCACCACCATGCCCAGCTAATTTTTGTATTTTTTGTAGAGCCAGGGTTTTGCCATGTTGGCCAGACTGGTCTCAAACTCCTGACCTCAGGTAATCCACCCGCCTCGGCCTTCCAAAGTGTTGGAATCACAGGCATGAGCCACTGTGCCCAGCGTTTGGATGCTTTACTTGCTTAGTGGCATTCAGTGGCTTCTGTAGCACTGCATACTTCCTAATGCTGGCAAGCATAATATAAGCCCAATGACCCTTCCCTAGCGGGACACTCCATCCTGGGGCCTAGAGAAGGGTTTTTTCTTTACTAGCCACAAGAGGTCAGCAGCAACACATGCATACACAGACGCCTCCCACAAACCAGACTGGCTTTGCTATGGTTTGGGGAAATACAAAACTGCTACTATTTGCTGACTGGCCTGTTTTTCCTGGAGTCTATGGCAACAAAAGTAGGACTCTCCCAAGATAATTGTTTCTGAGGTTGTTTCCCCTGGGAATCCTTGAGATGCTTCTGAAAAACATCTCATAGGAAAAGGGACTCCTCTTAGAACACAAAAATCCAGGCGTCTCTTCTCCCTACTAAGGTGGAGGAGATTTCACATTCTAACGTGGAATTCATCAAATTAATTGTTGGGGTCAGGAATACAGGCAGTCTGAGCAGGGAAGAAGCAGCAAAGTGAAGCTGTATTTCTGGACATGGCTATGGGTGAACGCCATAATTGGTCTATCTGGCATCACCCAGAGGTTCCTTAAAGCTTAGCCTGTTCCAAAAACATGACTTTGGATGCTAAGAAAACTCCACGATCCAGGAATTTGTTCCCTTTACATATATTTGGAAATTCTAAGTCTTAACATCAGTGAAAATAGCATAAGGGAAAGTTTAGGCCAGGTGTGGTGGCTCACACCTGAAATCTCAGCACTCTGGGAGGCTGAGGTGGGCAGATTGCTTGAGCCCAGGAGTTCAAGACCAGTTTGGGCAACATGGTGAAACCTCATTTCTACCAAAAGTCTCATCATAAATAGATACAAAAATAAAAAGAAAGTTTAAAGATGGGGGTCAAGGCCAAATCAGAGCCAAGCCAGAACAGTTATGGCTTGGAAATCTAAGATTTGTATAGGTTTAGGAGATGGAGTCAGCATGGGGTGAAGGGCTTCATGAATGGATGGCAGCATGTCAGACATTGGTCTCTAAAGGCGAGAAAAGATCTGAGTTAGCAGAAGTGAGAGATGACTACAGAAAACCCAGTTGACCAGAGTGGGATTGCCACTGATCACCTACCTGTGCAGAGAACCCACTGAAGAAGGCATACCAGAAGTGCACCAGGGTGAAGGTGAAGTTCTTATAAAAGAAGTAGCTGAGAAACTTGCACATGCAATTGTAAGACCAGCGGCCATGGACCAAGAGTAGACGCTGAAGATAGTGGAACTGGGAGATGGCAAAGTCACTGTTGAGCATGGCCTGCAGCCCCTCATGGCCACTGATGCCGATCCCAATGTGGGCAGCTGCAATAAAACCCCAGAAACTTCTCAGCCAGAGAGCTTGTATGCTGGGCTCCCAGCCTGGGAAGTGTAAAGGGAAAGCTGAGATGATGTTGTACAAACCCCTTTATTTTACATTTGGAAAATGCTTTTAAGCTCAGTGCCAACTGTCACTTACTTAGTGAAGTCTTTTCTCCTTAGTGGATTGCCCCTCCCTCAAAAAGTGGAAAATAGCTCCCTTTTCTGCACTTTTTTGTTTTTATGTAGATAACCATCTCCCTGTGTTGCCCAAGCTGGTCTCAAACTCCTGGACTCAGGTGATCCTCTCGCCTCAACCTCCCAAAGTGCTGGGACTACAGGCATGAGCCACTGTACTGGGCCCCTCTTCCGTATTTTGTTTTGGATACCACCACTCTAGAATGCGTGGCATGGCCAGTACTAGAAGCTGTCCTGAATGCTCTTTGCCCCTAGTCTAGCCATCTGGGCTCTTTCCTACTGTCCAGATGCTGGGGTTAAAATTTCTTGTTATCTATGGAACCCACTTAAATCAATTTAAGATGCAGGATGGATGCCAATCTAATACAATATTTAATTGCCTGAGTTTAACTAAGGGGCTAAAATCCAACTGTATGTGATGTACATACTTTGTTAGTGAGAAACAAGTACCTTTGTTAGTGAGAAACCAGAGGCCTAAGGTAACTTCTGGATAAAGCAATTTTATATTTGATGAAAGATAAGACTGAAGTTCCTAAAAGTTTGAATTAGTCTGTGGTAGTTTGCCAGTTTTCTGGTACATACCAAATTCACTGATCTGTAATATGCTTGCTGCACTGCTTGATGGGATAATTCAAACCTCTAAACTCCTAAATACCCCTAGGGTCTAGAAACTCGGGAATAGAGCAAGAATACTTCCTAGTATTAAAGCTGAAGCTGGGGCCAGGCACAGTGGCTCACGCCTGTAATCCCAACACTTTGGGAGGCCAAGGTGGGTGGATCACAAGGTCAAGAGATTGAGACCATCCTGGCCAACATGCTGAAATCCCGTCTCTACTAAAAACTACAAAAATTAGCTGGGCAAGGTGGCATGTGCCTGTAGTCCACCCCAGCTACTCGGGAGGCTGAGGTAGGAGAATTGCTTGAACCTGGGAGGCGGAGGTTGCAGTGAGCTAAGATCGCACCACTGCACTCCATCCTGACGCCTGGCGACAGAGCGAGACTCTGTCTCGAAAAAAAAAAAAAATGCTGAAGCTGGAATATCTTTTAGAGTTTCTTATATAGGCAGAGAGGTTGGACTACAGGACCTGTAGATTTGTCCATATCTCACAGACCTACATGTTGCTGGAGGCTGGTAGGTCAACATTCATGTGAAATTGAAACCAGTAAATTTGGCCAGGCGTGGTGGCTCATGCCTGTGGTCCCAGCACTTTCAGACTGAGATGGGGGGAAATTGTTTGAGGCCAGAAGTTTAAGACCAGCCTGGGCAAAATAGTGAGACCTCACCTCTACTAATAATTAAAAGATAGCTGCGCATGGTGGTGTGTGCCTATAGTCCCAGCTACTCAGGAAGCAGAGGCAGCGGGACTGCTTGAGCCCAGGAGTTCAAGGCTACAGTGAGCTATAAACGTGCCACTGCACTCCAGCACAGGTGGCAGGCTGTCTCTAAACAAAACAAAACAAAAGAACAACAAACCACCCTAGTAAATTTCAGCCATTTGCTTCTACTGGTCCAAAGTGATCAGTAAGTCACCTATTCTCCTTCCACCAAGGGAGCAGGGCAAGCTCTTGGGAACGTGGACCTGGAAAAGAAAATATCTCTGAATTGGGCATCACAGCCTACAGCCTTCAGAAAAGAAACAGACTATGACTCCTGCCCAGGGGTCCTTTCTGTGGGCCTTGATGTCATCTCAGAAAGAAGGTATGGTAGTTGCACAGCCTGTTGTTCTGTGAACATAAGCATGTGTTCTCGTGGGAGCCATGTGTATCTGTGTGTATGCTTACATTCATAGTGTAAGTACATGAATCTGAATGTGTGTGCATGCCTGTGGATGTGGGCTGATGCCTGAATGTGTCAATAAGTGGGAGTGCAGGCACAGAGGAGTATGAATGGAGTTGCAAAACAGTATAACTGTGTAACACGTATGAGAGGCAGGAGTGTGAACCAGAAACAGAGTACCATCCAAATCCACTCTGCTCATGGAGAAAGGAAGGGGCAAGCCCATGGCTTTAAGCTAACTGCTCCCCTCCCGTCACATGCCTTTTATCATGCTGACATCATTGGCCCCATCCCCGATGGCCAGTATCACCACCTTCTTGTACTTCTTCATCAGCTCTACCACCTGGGCCTTCTGAAGGGGTGTCATCCGGCAGCACATGCACGCTGTTCGCAGCAGTTCCAACTCCAGGTTCCCTTCTAGAGCATAGGCCTGCAGCACCAGGACACACTCACTCTTCAGATTGCCCAAAAAAGCTCTCAGAGGATGACTTCCCAAATGGTTCCCTTTCCCTCTATACTCTCCTGTCCTTTACAGGGCAGACATATCTGCTCCCAAGGCACTCCACCCCCAAGGGAGGCCGAGCACCCAAGTCAGTTCTAGGCATCCTCCCATCTGACTCAACCTCCAATGGGAAACTGGTCAGGACCTCTCGTTGGGCCAAATCAGTTGACAGGGCTATGAGGCCAAATGACTTCTTGGGAGACCTGTTTCTGCTTGCTTCCCTCTTCTCCTAAGTGACAGGCCACATCAGTAGAGAAGAATTTGGATAAGGAAGAAATACACCCTTGGCTTTTCTTTCCTTATTTACTTCTTCCTAAAGAAGCCTAGAGAAAGGAGTCTTTCAGGCAAGGGCACCTGAAGGGAAGGGGAATAGGGTGACTCATGGAATAGGAAAGGGGGTCTTTTTTTTTTTTGAGACAGAGTTTCGCTCTTGTTACCCAGGCTGGAGTGCAATGGCGTGATCTTGGCTCACTGCAACCTCCGCCTCCTGGGTTCAAGCAATTCTCCTGCCTCAGCCTCCCGAGTAGCTGAGACTACAGGCATGCACCACCATGCCCAGCTAATTTTTGTATTTTTAGTAGAGACGGGGTTTCACCATGTTGACCAGGATGGTCTCGATCTCTTGACCTTGTGATCCACCCGCTTGGCCTCCCAAAGTGCTGGGATTATAGGTGTGAGCCACCACGCCCGGCTGGAAAGGGAGTCTTGAAATTTCCCTGAAGTATGTTGGACCTAGGAAGAAGGTTCTTTGGAGGAGGAGAACAGAATGTAGCTCTGTGTTGCCCACCAGACTATAGCCATTGATGATCAAGCCATAGTTGCCATTGGCCACCTCCTCAGGTATTTCAAAAGGCATTTTGGGCTTCGTAGTGAGGTAAATGTTTACAGGGTCTGAATCCAGGAGAGATTCGGGTTTCATCTTGTCCCTTGCTATCCTGAAAGCCAAGAGCAGTGGTCAGAGTCTGACCTGAAGCTTCAGAATTTAGAAGGAAAATATGTCCCCAGATGAAAGTGGGCAAAGTGGCTGTAGGAACTCTGCAAAGCACCAGCCAAGACCTCAGACATGACAGCTTTTCAAGACCTGCCACTGCCACAGGTCCCTGACCATTCACATGCTGCACTTCTCCATCTCCCACACTCCAGCCCTATTTAGCCCAAATGCTTCTCACAAAATTTTTTCAAATATTTTAGGTTTTTGTTTTTCCCACCTCCATGCCTTCTCTGTTCCTTCTGGTGGTGTGGGACCCACACTATGGGAAGAGATGAATGGGAAATTTTGGGTCCAGGGACTGGCTATGGCCAATCTCCCATCTATACCTGAGTTCTTTCCAAACAGTCTCATCATCCCTGCCGTCCACAATGAACACTTCATCCATTTCATCCTCAAATATCTTACAGGAGTAGGCAATGTTCACAGCAGTCTCTGTAGGTAAGGGGGAGCACAAGTCTCATTTTGGCTGGTGTTTATAGACAAGGACAGGATCTTCACAGTGTACAGGTACACAGGCTCTAATATTGGGCAGGCTGCAGAACCCATCTATCCTCATTTGCCATGGATGCAATCAAAATGCATTTTTAATGAATCAGTGGAGATCATATTCAAATATCCACAGATGACTGTCTACCTGCACAGACTTACGGGTTGCTTATCAATAACTATGGTCATTCTGGCCTTCTCTAGAAAGTCTTATCCTATTTCTTAGAGTAATTTCAGTCTTTATCCATTTCTCCAGGCAATCAGGATGTGTTTTTTTGAACAGCATTGTGCCCATTTCTATGCTAGATTTTATGGGGGAATAAGACATGTTTAAATTCTTCCTTTACATCAAATAGTGTGGAATTTGGAATAAATTCATACTAAGAAAAAAATCAGTTCCTGAATCCTGGCTACAAATGGTATCAGAATTCAGAGGAGAGATTGCAATTGTCACAGAAACTTTCTTGAAGGAAGGTCTTGGAGGATGAATAAGAATTGAAGGAAAAGGTATTTTAAGTGGGTAAACAACCCAAATCAAGGCCCTAGAGTAGGAACTGGTTTGTTTGGGGGCACGCTTAAGATAATGGTAACATTCGGAAGCAGATAAGGATGTGAAGAGCAATAGATTATCAAAATCCTGAAGGCCAGATAGAGGAGTTCGACCTTTACAACATGAAGTCAATGTAGGTCCCTGAATAGAGGAGTAACATCATAAAATTAGTATATTTGGGGAAGATTAAACTGATGGTTGATTGTCACTGTATATTTGAGGAAGATTAAACTGATGGTTGTATGTTGGCTGTACTGAAATTAATAAGTGCAAGAGACAGAGAGATAAGTTCAGAAGTTTGTGTCAGTACAGCCAACTGGAAATGAGATTGAACTTGGAGGGTAACACAAGAGGATTTTCAGACAAATTCATGGCATACAGTGAGAGAGTGACTCTATGGGACAACAGAGAGGGTACAGTCAAAGACAATTTTAAAGTTTAGCTGTGAGTTCCTGAATGACAGGGGTCATGTCTGATTGATTCATCTGTCTTCAATGCCTAATATATCATCTGGCATAAAGCATATGCTCAGCATATTGTATACAAGATTGAGAATAAAGGTGTCCTGTAAGGACTTGATTTGACTTAGAAGATATTTATCAAAAAATGGCTAAGTAAAAAAAGGAAAGAGGTGGAAAAGAAATGGCTAAGATGGATAAGGAAGAGGATCAGTCAGTCTAGGGCTTTTACCTTGCTTATCTCCAGTTAAAACCCATAGTTTAGTTTTGGCTTTGTTCAGGGTGATGATTGTCTCAGGTACTCCATCTTGCAGCTTGTCTTCTACCGCTGTGGCCCCTATCAGCTTTGAAAAGATCTATCAGTGAATGAGGAAAAAGGAAAGAGGCAGAGAGCATTTAGTGCTACCTAATGATTGAACTAGCATCTCGGCACTTTCTTTAGTGAGCTGGCTCTGTCCTGGTGTGAGGATCTCATTGGTATAAAACTCAGCACATTCTGCCTTGCAACTCACACAGCTTTTCAGCCAGATTACTTAGCTTCTGTGAACAGCTTTGGGATTAGAAACACTGCTAGAAAGATAAAAATTATCACCAGCGCATTCTTTCATTATGGATTCAGAAGGTCCAGGATATACTGAATCGGCTGGGATTCCAGTATCCAGCCTCCCTGGCACAAAACTATGGAGCTCTCCTGCCAAGCCTTCCTATCCTTCTTCTCAGAGACAGCCTGCATCTGTCAGTCCTCTAGGAGCTACTTTCAGAGCCCTTGCCCAGTCTGCTGACTGCCAGCCCCCATCCCTAACCCAGTCTCTCCCTGGCTTCCTCACTAACCATCAAGTCTTTTTCGACTTCTTCATAGACATTTGATAATCTGCTTTCCTGATTCTCCAAAGACAAGCAGGCTTCACTCTGCCTCCTGCTCCAGTCCTGGAAGAATGCTTCATCCAACTCTCGGTAGGCCACCATTAGGGTGTGAAGGCCTTCACTAGCATAATCCTGGAAGACATACATGTGTGTGCACCGTGAGTGGGCCTGGGCAGAGTTAAGGCTGAGTTAAGGGACTGGCAGACCTACCCCACAGGCCTCATCTGCCTGCAAAATAGGGTTTAATAAATTAGTGGCATGGTTCTAGTTCCTAGCCTAAGCAGAAAGCAACTGATAGGCTTTTTCAGCAAAATGTCCCTAGGATGGGGCCAGCATAGCTGGAAGGTTGAGAGTAATTCTGAGGAATGGAAGTTCTAGCTTTTACTTATAGTTAGGTAATTTGCTGTGTGACTCTGGGAAAAACCAAGTCTAGATTTCTTCCTTGTAAAATTGGGATGATTATATACCCTCTACAGACAGGATAATGATGACTATAATATGAGAATGAAGGGAATAATAAAGTAAAAAGAAGCAGTTGTTATAAACAAATAATCAAAGGTGTTACTAGTTTTTACAAGCATACATTCATTTCCATTTTCCTTTCTCCTTCCTTCCACAAATATTCAATGGGTATCTTACACCGCACATACTTATGTATTTGTCTACAGTTGGTTGGTTCAGTTGATTAGCCATAGCCGGCATGTTAACGAGGGTGCTACTGAAATGCTCTTGGGGCAAATTAGCATCGGTTTGTTCCTTATGCACTGACATATCCATAGCTAACCATCTTGCAGGAATAAACTCTTGGTCATGAGGAGGGCTGGGTGAGAGTGTGAGTGGTTTAGGGGAGAATTCATATCGATCTAAGGGTGGGTTAGAAACAGATTTTGTATATAAAGGACTGCACATGAACAAAAATTCTACACTATCATTGCTATAGTGAATGGCAAACTAATTCACTTTGGCATTTTAAGAGCAAAGAGAAACAGAATTTACTCTCAGTTCCCTGTGCAACTCCTGAATGTCTGATGCTAGCTGTCAGGTGAAATTAACATAAGACGATATATGGACAGAATACCATCTCTTAAACCTCTATACTGTTGGCAGCCTAAGAAGCCCCAGAAAATATTTCAGGAGAGCTCCTAAGAAGGCAGTGATAGTGGCAGAAACTGGTTTTGCATAGGACATAGATAAAATAACTTAACAAGCTTACCAATACAATGACAGATTCATTAATCAATTCAACAAATAACTTTGTGGTTCGTGTTAACATCTTTTATCCCTACTTGTGTGTTTTTTCCCTTAGTGCTGGTATGAGGCAAACTAGGGCCTGGGAGCCACATCATGCCTGCTACCTGTATGTGCAGATCTGTTTGCTGATTCCTGTCTCAGAGGGCCTGGAATTCTGCTTTTGTATTAGTGGGCTGTTGGAGCTTGACTCTTACAGATTTGCCATCAGTGGTGAATAGACTGCAGTAGAGTCAGGCCCCACTATCAGTGTCTATTGAAGATGGCAAGCAGGAAGCATGTCAAAAGATCTGAAACAGTTTTCTGACTTCCTTCGAGGCTAGTCTGTAGAAATGCTCTCAAAAAGGTGCCTTAATTCACATGTTCTGAAAGGTTAAAAGATAAAAGACTAGTCCATAAAAATACTATGGCCTCTGGGAACCAGTATAGGCACAAGAGCTCTTGTGTGGGACATTTCACTGACTTAAAAAACTGAGATAATTAATATGCCATAAATGTCACCCTTTTATACAATTCAGTGGCTTTTTTTCTTTTTTTGAGACAGAGTCTCGCTCCGTCGCCAGGCGCCAGACAGGAGTGCAGTGGCACGATCTCGGCTCACCGCAACCTCCGCCTCCTGGGTTCAAGCAATTCTCCCGCCTCAGCCTCCTGAGTAGCTGGGATTACAGGCACACTCCACCATGCCCAGCTAATTTTTGTATTTTCAGTAGAGACAGGGTTTCACCATGTTGGCCAGGATGGTCTCGATCTCCTGACTTTGTGATCCACCTGCCTCGGCCTCCCAATCAGTGGCCTTTTAAAAGTATGTTCACAAACTTTGTGCACCCATTACTACTATCTAATTTCAGAATATTTTCATTATCCCAAGCTGAATAGTTTTAACAGTCATTCCCCATTCCATTTTCCCCTAGCCACATGACGGCTACTAATTTACTTTCTGATTCTATAGATTTGCCTTATCTGGACATTTCATATAAATGAAATCTTTGTGGCCTTTTGTGACTGGCTTCTTCACATAACATAATGCTTTTAACGTTAATCTACACTGTAGCATTTATCAGTACTTCACTCCTTTTTATTGCCAAATAACATTCCATTGTACAGATAAACCACAATTTATTTATCCAATCATCTGTTGATAGAAATTAGGGTTGTTTCACTTTTTTGGCCATTATGAACAATGCGGCTTTGAACATTTGTGTACACAGTTTTAAAAATTTTTTTAATTTTTGTGGGTATAGGTGTATTTATTTATGGGAAATATGGAATATTTTGATACAGGCATATGATGTATAATAATTGTATCAGGGTAAATGAGGTATCCATCACCTCAAGCATTTATCCTTTGTGTTACAAACAACCCAATTATACTCTTTTAGTTACTTAAAAATGTACAATTAAATTATTAACTCTAGTCACCCTGTTGTGCCACCAAATACTAGATCTTATTCATTCTTTCTATTTTTTTAGTACCCATTTGCCATCCACACACTTCCTCCCTCTGCCCCACTACCCTTCCCAGTCTCTGGTAACCATTATTCTACTCTCTGTCTCCATGAGTTCAATTGTTTTAAGTTGTAGCTCCCACTAGGTGAGAACATGCAAAGTTTGTCTTTCTGTGCCTGGCTTATTTCATTTATTAATAACATAATGATCTCCAGTTCCATCCATGTTGCTACAAACACAGGATCTCATTCTTCTTTTTTTTTTTTATGACTGAATAGTACTCCTTGTGTATAGGTATCACATTTCTTTATTCATTTGTCTATTGATGGACACTTAACTGTTGTGACTATTGCTGCAATAAACATGGAAGTGACGATATCTATTCAATACACTGATTTCCTTTCTTTTGGGTATATACCTAGCAGTGGAATTTCTGGATCATATGGTAGCTCTATTTTTAGTTTTTTGAGGAAACTCTAAACTGTTCTCCATAGTGTCTGTACCCGTAGGGTCCAGCCCTACTAGGGTTGTGGGGTGGCCCCCATCACTGTGTTGAGGCACTGCATCCAATAAATGAGACAAGACACCAAAGGACTGGATAAGAGCAGATGGGCTCGGGGCCAACACCACTTACAAGTGGAGACAGGCAAGGCCTCAAGCGTCCAGGTGGGTCTGTATTTATTTGGTATAGATTGGGGGGAAGGGTAGTGAGTGAGGTCATCTTTAGGATAGTGATAGGGCCAAGATGAACATGTGAGCAATAAGCAAAGGGCCCACCCCCATTAGGTCACCAAGGCAAGGAGGTTGGCAGAGTGCAGTAGGGAGGGTGCACTGTGCAACATCTCTTATCTAGGGGCAGGCAACTTTTAAGGATTTCTATAGGAGGATGTTTGAGTCAGCACAGTAGTAAGAGAGCTGACAAGGAATACAGCCACTGAGGCACGATTATACCGGAGGGGTTTTAAGCCCTTGGATGTTTGAGGGATTGCCAGCCTAATGCCAGCTTTCCACAAGAACTGCATGTAAGATACTTCAACTCCCTTACAGCAGGAGTGACTCTTGCTCCAAGCCTGCCATACAGCGGGTATCTTTATGATACTGGATGCTGCTGCCTGGGCCATGTAGCACATGCCCTTTCGCAAGGGCATTACCACCTGGGCCACTGATTCTTGTCCTGGTATGGCTGTTTTTCCCTAGTTCATGCTGTGCACCATGTCTGCTCTTGACACTCCTCTGACTACAAACTAAGATATCATTATAAAAAAGGATTATATAAAAGGAAATAAATGAGCAATAAGATGTTCTTCAGGCACTAATTGTGCCGGGGTGTGCTTAACTCTCCTTCCTCAGGGCCCAGAAGGTGAGTTACCCACATATACTAATTTGCATTCCCAACAATAGTGCACAGAGGTTCCCTTTTATTGACATCCTAGCTAACATTTGTTATTGCTTGTCTTTTGGATAAAAAGCATTTTAACTGGGATGTGATGACATTTTACTGTAGTTTTGATTTGCATTTCTCTGATGATCAATGATGTTGAGCACCTTTTTATATGCCTGTTTGCTGTTTGGATGTCTTCTTTTGAGAAATGTCTCTTCACTCCTTTTGCCCATTGTTAAAACGGATTATTAGATTTTTTTCCTATAGAGTTGTTTGAGCTCCTTTTATATTCTGGTTATTAATCCTTTGTCAGATGAACAGTTTGCAGATATTTTCTCCCATTCTGTGGGTTGTCTCTTTACTTTGTTGATTGTTTCCTTTGCTGTACAGAAGCTTTTAAACTTAATGTGGTCCCATTTGTTAATTTTTATTTTGATTGCCCATGCTTGTGGGGTATTAATCAAGACATTTTTGCTCAGACCAATGTGCTGGAGAGTTTCCCCAATGTTTTTATTTAGTAGTTATATAGTTTGAGGTTTTAGATTCAAGTCATTAACCTATTTTGATTTGATTTTTGTTTATGGTGAGACATAGGGGTCTAGTTTCATTCTTCTTAAAAAATTTTTTTTTTACTTAAAATAGTCAGGGTCTTGCTTTGTTGCCCAGGCTGGTCTCGAACTCCTGGGCTCAAGCAATCTTCCTGCATTACTTCCCAAAGAGTTGGAATTATACGCGTGAGCCACTATGCCCATCCTAGTTTCATTCTTCTGCATATAAATATCATTTTCCCAGCATCATTTATTGAAGACACTGTCTTTTCTCCAATGTATGTTCTGCACCTTTGTAGAATATGAGTTTACTGTAGGTGTATACATTTGTTTCTGGGTTCTCTATTCTGTTCCATTGGTCTATGTGTCTGTTTTAATGCCAGTGCCATGCTGTTTTGGTTACTGTCACTCCATAGTATAATTTAAAGTCAGGTAATGTGACTCCTCCAGTTTTGTTATTTTTGCTCAGGATAGCTTTAGCTTTTTTGGGTTTTCTTATGGTTCCTATA